TAATCTAGCATGGTGCCACTTAACCCCTCCCCTGTCATAATCAAGCACAGCACTACTAAACCCCTCCCCTGCCATAATCCAGCAATGGTGCCACTTAACCCCGCCCCTACCATAATCCAGCACGGTGCCTTTGCTAGAGTCTAGCACAGTAACGCTTAGGCCCTCACCTGCCAGGGTGGAGCAGCACTAATCCTCTCTCCCATCAGAATCCAGCAAAGCACAATTTACCCTCAACTGCTATAATCCTGCACATCATTGCTTAACCCTTTCCCTGCTATCGTCCAGTACAATACCAATTCACCCCTCACCTGCCCACAGCCCCACTTAACCCCTTACCTGTCAAAGCCAACCACAGCACTACTAAGCATTTCTCCTACCAGTGTCCAGCACAGCATCACTTAACCTCTCATAATCCAGCTGAGCGTCACTTAACTCCTCGCCTGCCAAAATCCAGCACAACACCACGTAAATCCTCATCTGCCAGAATCCACCAAAGCACTGCGAATCACTCACCTTGTTTAACCCTTCAATTGCTAGAGCACAGCACCATCCAATCGTCTACCATAATCCAGCACAGCATCAGTTAACCCTTCCCCTCCTAGAGCACAGCACCATTCAATCAACCATCTACCATATTCCAGTATAGCACCACTTAACCCCTCGCCTGCCAATGACCAGGGCAGCCCCACTAAGACCCTCTCCTACCAGAATCCAGCAAAGCATTGTTTAACCCTTCCCCTGCTAGTGCTCACCACTAAATTTAATTTAACCACTCACCTGCTAGAGTCCTAGCCAGCACATTTTTGCTTTACCTCCCACCTACAATAGTGCAGCACAGCATTGCCCAGCACTTCACTGCTAGAGCCCAGAACACCATCACTTAACCCCTCACATGTCAGGATTCAGAACAGCATCACTTCACCTACCAGTATAGTATAATGAAATCCCTCCAATTCCAGAGCAGCATAGCTTACACCCTATCCTGTCAGAATCCAGGACAGCACCACTTAGCACCTCTTCTGCCAGAGCACACCTTATAACAGTACAGCCTAGACTCAGCTCCCACCTACTATATTCCACTTAACCCCTCACCTGTCGTAATCCAGCACAGCGCCACTTAAAACTCCCCCTGCAAAGATCCCAACATACCATCTCTTAATCCTTCTCCTGTCACAATCTAGTACACCACAATGTAACCCCTAAAACAGAAGCGTAACAGAATGAAGAACAGCACCAATGATTCTGTGTTTGCCCATTTCCAGCACAGTACAATGTAACCTCTCACCTGCCGTCATCTATTGCAGCGTGATTTAACTACTTTTCTGCCAGAATCAGGGCAGCTTAACTCCTCACCTGCTAGAATCCAGCACAGCACCACTTAACCCCTCACCTTCCAGAAACCAGCGCAGCACCACTTAACCCCTCACCGTCCAGAAACCAGCGCAGCACCACTTAACCCCTCACCTGCAGGAATCCAGCACAGCACCACTTAACCCCTCACCTGCCGGAATCCATCGCAGCACCACTTAACCCCTCACCGTCCAGTAACCAGCGCAGCACCACTTAACCCCTCACCTGCCAGAATCCAGCACAGCACCACTTAACCTCTCGCCTTCCAGAAACCAGCACAGCCCCACTTAATCCCTCACATGCCAAAATGCAGCACAGCACCACTTAACCCTTCACCTGCAAGAATCCAGCACAGCACCACTTAACCCCTCACCTGCCGGAATCCATCGCAGCACCACTTAACCCCTCACCGTCCAGAATCCAACACAGCATCACTTATCCTCTCACCATCCAAAATTCAGCACACAGCATCACTTAACCACTCACCTTCCAGAATCCAGCATGGCACCATTTAACCCTTCACCTTCCAGAATCCAGTGCAGCACCACCTACCCTCTCACCTGTCATAATCTAGCACAGCACCACTTAACCCCTCACCTGCCATAATCTAGCACAGCACTAAACTTCTCACTGTCCAGAATCCAACACAGTATCACTTAACCCTTCACCTGCCATAATCTAGCACAGCACCACTTAACCCCTCACCTGCCAGAATTCAGCACACCACTCATTTGCCACAATCCAGCAAAGCACTGCTTAATCACCTACCTGCCAGGATCCAGCCCAGGCCAGTTTAACCCCATACCAGCCACACTGCAGAGCACCAACACCTAACCCTTCTACCAGAAGTCAGGGTAGCATTGTTTAACCCCTTACCTTGCCGAAATCCAGGACAGTAATATGTAACCCTTTCCTTGCAAGTACTGTGCAAATCATTCTTTCCAATGTCCTGCACGAGTTAACTCTTTCCTTTGCAAAGTCCAGAACAACATCCTTGAACCTCATCTCCTGACAGAATCCAGCAGGACATCTTTTACCCCCATGTACCTTACAGCCCAGGGTGGTATGCCTTAACTCCGTCTTCCAGCAGCCACTGCACAGCTGCTTAACCCCTTAACTTCCAGATCCCATCACATAACCATTTTCACTCCGTTCGGGCTGCATTATTTATCTACTGCCAGGCTTAGCAGTGCAGAACATAGGCTGCATTATTGCACCCAAACATAGACATGTGTCACGTATCACTGGTTCACCTAACCCCGCTGCAGCGCTTTGCCCTGGCTCTTTGAGCGGCGCTGACGGCTCAGTGCTGCCGCTCTGTGGGGAGAAGAGGGTACTGCAGGCGCTGAAAGGGGGGGGGGGCACCTCCCGTGATTCAGAGCCGAGTATACGCATTCTCTCACTCTCCTCCCTCCTGCCTTGTTTCACCTCTCCCTCTCTCTTCCATTCAGTATCACTCTGAGTCTCCTGCACTTTTCAGCACCACCTGGATTCTCCTCTCCCTTCCTAAGATGCAACTGTGCACCCAATATCTGCCCTGACACCTGTGCCCTTACCTGCACACGCTGACATTTGCCTCACCCTTTGCCACCAGGCTGGCATCTTCAGCTGCCAGGACCCGGGCTCAGGTAGGTCAGACGTTTTGCTGTCACTTTGGAGTCTCCAAACTCTGTCACCTGGGTGGTTGGCTTCTCAGACTTCTCTGATCCACTAAGGAGTGATGATGAGCTGTTTCTAGGTCCATATGCCAGCAATGTTGGGCTCTGCGGGTTTCGGATTCACATGCTTTAGTTTTGTACAGTGGTTGTCCAGAACAGTTAGATCAAAGCTATGTAGGTCAGCCTCAACGTGTTTAGATACCGTAATGCTCTACATTTTCTGGACCCATCTTCGGAGAAGGAGTCTCTGCAGGATATAGATATAAATGATGCTTTAGGTTTTGCCGTTTCGGAATCTCTGCTATGCTTAGAGTGTTCTTCATGTTATCTCACCAGACTGGAAGGAGGGAGCGGTGCTCTAATGGTTCAGGATCCCTCACAGGAGAATTGTGTTCTCCAAGTTTTGCATTCAAAGTAGGAGGATGGTGTTCGCAGACAACATACAGTAGATGATGTGCAGCTGCAGATCCACAATAAACAGATCATTCTCTGCATGGTCTTTCTGCACATCCTAGGTGGATAATGCTTTCAGTTTCTGGATCTGAAAGTTCTGTACCCTCTGTGCCTGAATAGCCGCCGGTTCTAATCTATGTTAAAGGCTCGGCAACTGCTTTTACTAGGAGGAAAATGATCTGCAAGTTCTAAACAGAAGACAAATAATTCCCTTGCAGGCTCCTGCTTCAGTCCAGGTATGTGATGCTCCAGAGGTTCTGGTTCCAGTCTAAATTGATGATGCTTTGCAGGTTCTGGTTCCAGTCTAGGTGGATAATGCTTTGCAGGTTCTGTTCCAGACTAGATTAATAATGCTCAGATTCTAGTTCCAGTTTAGGTACATCATGCTCTGCAGTTTCTGTTCAGGTCCTGGTAGATGATTATTTGCAGATTCTGTTCCGGTCTGGGTAAATGATGCTCTGCAGGTTCTTGTTTTAGTCTAGGCAGATGATGTTCTGCAGGTTCTGTTTCAGTCTAGATAGATGATGCTCTGGAGGTTCTGGTCCCAGACAGTCTAAGTAGATGATGCTCCACAGGTTTTTGTTTCAGTATAGGCAGATGATGCTCTACAGTTTCTGGTTACAATAAAAAAATAATTGATGCTCTGCAGATTCTGTTCCAGTCTAGGTAGATGAGGGTCTGCAGGTTCTGTCTTATTTGCAGGTTCTGTTCAAGTCTAGGTAGATTATTATTTGCAGGTTCTGTCCCAAGCTAGGTAGATGATGCTCTGCTGTTTTATGTTCCAATCTAAGTAACTGATGCTTTACAGGTCTTGGGTTCAGTCTTGGTAGATGATGATCTGCAGGTTCTGGTCTTAGATTATGTAGATGATGTTCTGCAGTTTCTGGTTCAGGTCTAGTTAGATGTTGCTCCACAGGTTCTTGTTTCAGTCTAGGTAGATGATGCTCTGCAGGTTATTGTCTTAGATGTTCTGCAAATTCTGTTTCAGTCTAGGTATAATGTTCTGCAGGTTCTGGTTTTAAACTAGGTAAATCATTTTGTGTAGGTTCTGGATCTAGCCTAGCTAGATAATGCTTTGTAGGTTCAGGTTCTATGTAGATGATGTTCTGCAGATTGTGGTTCCAGTGTAGGTAGATGATGTTTTCATGCCAGTCTATGTAGATGATGTTCTGCAGATTGTGGCTCCAGTGTAGGTAGATGATGTTGTGGTTCCAGTGTAGGTAGATGATTTTCTGCAGGTTCTGCTTCTGATCTAGGTAGATGATGTTGTGACTCCAGTCTTAGCATACAATGGTCATGGTAAATCAAGACCAACTGTAATAGGCTCTAGGGTCTCAGAGTCCAGGACTGAATCCAGATTTCATTGATAATGTTCTGCAGCGCCTGGGTGTATGTTAGATTTCAGCACTAAGCAGAATGAGAATTCACAATCGTGAAATGTGTGGCGGGTGTGTGAGCTCACAAATGATGTGTAAAGTTCTGCATTTGTTAGGTAATACTCTATGAACTCTGAACCTCCTCCTTGGATAATACTCTGTAGCCTCTACATTCCCAATAGATGAATAATGCCGGGTTCCAGCACAGATCATATTGTTCTGCAGGTTCTGGATCTGCACAACAAGATATCACTCTGCCTGTTCTGGAACCAAATTAGATTAGAAATAAAATGTTCTGCAGCCTCTAGATAATGCTCTGCAGATGTCTATCTATCCTTGGTGGGAACGGTTCAGCTGATTCTGCAATCATGTGCCTTAAGTAATGCTCTGGCTAAACACATTACAATCAGATCATACAATCTAAATTCAGGCGTAATTATACCACAAAAACCTCCATTTGTGCAGAGTCACATCTCAACAACCCAATCCTAAAAACTGAATAAAGTTATATGACTAAGATAGGAAAATCTGGGGAGCATCTCATTTGTATGGTGGGTGGTGTTACTGTACACTTCTACAACCTTCTCTCAGGGTAGTCAGTGGGATTGTGCAGTCAGAACCTTTATATGTGTGAGGCAATCTTATGTTCTTTTACATATTGTTACATTTAGCACATGGTGTAGCATGTGAAAAATGCCCCAAAAACCCCCACAATAAAACAAGAATTGTAAGAAAAGATTGTGTGCAATCCGATTTATACTTTTTTCTTGTTTGTGTCTCCATTGCTGTGATTCACTAAAATGGGTTGGATATTTGCTCACTTCTATGTTTGTTTCCATAATCTTCCATGGAGGAAAAAGCTCTGTTCATACACTATAGACACTGACCTGCTAATTGTTGGTGACTGATGTGTAAGCCCTGCTCCTTCTGGACCCACATGTATTAAATAATGCCGCACAGTATCCGCACTCTGGTTAAATGACGTTTATAAATATTAAACCCAACTCCGCGATAAGTTGTTTCTTTTTTTAAAGGTATTCACCTTCCTATGTGGCACTTTCCCCTGTAATGATTCCATTTCACCACAAGATGTCCTCAGTTTTCTGGGTTTAATAATGCCCAAAGTCACTTGCCCCAGAAGACCGAGGAGATCCTGTGCAGGAAATCATAGCCGCCCCCCGAGAGGCGTCACTATGGAGGTATGCACTCACAGTGTAAAGACGCAGAGAGTGGCACTGATGTCATCATAAGGACCAGCCAGCTCTGAAGAAAATCCAAAGAGGACCTCGCTTATCATGTGACAGGCCTGGGGCCTAGATTTGTGCAATTCGTTTAGTTCCAAATTGAAATTCTTTCGAATTTCTGGACATTTGGATGCATCCGAATTTCCAAATGACAAAACGAAGGAATCTGAACGAATCCGAATGTTTGATAACGCAATAGGGATACATCCGAATTTCATTTGGAAACGAAACACATCAAGCGGGAGAGCTCAGCTGTCATTTATCGCTCTCTGGCTTCTCTGCATTTGTATCTCAAATAAAAACAAAGTAACACAATATTGTTACAAAATGTGCACAATGAAAGAAGCTGAGAGATCTGTGTTATTTTGTAACAGCTTCTGCTTCTTTGAGGACACTTCATCCCAAATGTAAAGCATCTGACAGCTGTCACAGAATACACTGAAGTGTTTACCTATTCACAGAAATAATAATAATTAAAAAAAAAAAACAAAAGGGGGACCCCCCCCCCCAATTTATACCAGACCCTTTAAGTCTGGTAGGAAAGTTAGGGGGGGGGGGCCTATGCAAAAAAAAACTGTGTGGTTCCCTGGCAATTCATACCAGATCCTTTAGGTCTGGTAGGAATTTTAAGTGGGAACCCCAGCGACGAGAAAGTAGAAAAAAATGGAGTTTCCCTTAAAATCCCATATCAGACACTTAATCCGGGCAGCAGCCGGGGACCTCCTGGAAAAGCACCTTGTCCCCATGCCGATGGAAACAAGAGCCTCTTCCCCACTACCCTGACCCATGGTTGTGGGGGTCTGTGAGTAATGTCACTTTTATGCAACAAATTTTAGTTCGTAATGATCATTTAACTCGTCAATGCCGAAATGAATTGACTTTCAGACCCGAATCCCGAAAAACGAAACATCCAAAACGATATTAAATATATTTTATGCCAGCCTACATGGCATAGTCTAACCATCACATTTGGTGTTACCCCCTCCTTATTTATTGGTCATGTAGTCTAAATGTAGTCGGGAAAACTTTTGTGACCCAAAATAAGATACAACAGCTGAAAACTGAAGCAGGGAAGGTGGGAACTTGCTCTAATTCACTTACAATGTGCATTTGAACTTGCTATAGAATTCAACTACTCCAGAAAGAGTCCCCCCCCCCCCTTTCTTCTTCTGGGAGTGCCTATCTACTGTCTGTGCCGGCCTGGCTCCTCTGCCCCTCCCTGCATAGCTTTTTATGGGGGGAGCGAAGGGGAATACTATAGAGTGTCTTTTACGTTATAGCTCTGAATCTGCTCACATCCAAGATGGCAGCAACCAAGGAAGGCTTTTATATATGTTATTTACCTAATGCTCTTATAAGCTTATGGGAAGATTGTTGTTGAAATAAATGTTCTGGCGACAGGGTCTCTTTAAATTAGGATCAAGAACATGTAAACAGTGGTGTATTTTGGTTTTGTGCTGCCCTAGGCAAGACTAAACTCAGGCTTACTTTTTTGTTTTTGGGTTTAAAAAGGCTTTATAGATTTTAGCAGCTCTGCATTCAGTGTAAAGTGCTACAATTTTTACTGGTTAAATTACTAAAAATTCTGTGACTGCATGTTCTGTGCAGCCTTTGCAGGACATGCTGCGGCAGGTTGTTCTCCAAAAGCTGGAAAGCCACATGAGTGCTTTAGTCTCAAGTGAAAAGTTTTATAGCATCTAATAATACCAAAAAGTGTAATAGCAAAAAAATAAAATAATTATTTTTGTTATTACAGTTTTTTATATTATTATATAGATGCTGTAAAACCTTCCACATAAGGTTTCACATATGTTATTATTATTAGTATTATTCATGATTAATTATAAAAATAATTAAAGCTATAATAATATATAATTGATATCATTCCTCTGCCTGC